TCACGCCGTGCTCGGAGAAGTCGGCTTCTGCGTAGCAAAACCAGGCTTCGATGTTGTCGGTCCAGAAAGGCGTCAGTTGAAACGAAGGCGGGGACAGAGTCTTAAGCTTGAGTACTTTAGGTGTCTGTTCAGTCATGATGAAGTATAAAGTACGATAATGAACGAGGGGAAAATATATATATATCCAATAAAAAACACGAAAAAAATCACAATGTTTAAAAAAAAAAAAATAAGGCAATGATATATAAAAATCCTAAAATGTAACAGACTCACAGTTGCAGTAAGGTGTACCAGATCACGTCGGGCTCACCAATGATGATGTCACAGGTATTCAGTGTTTGACAACGCTTCTACCAGTAACACCTTCTAATGTATTTCGTTCCCACCAAGAGAAATCAAAAGACAGAGTCGAGGAGATCGGAAGAGTATATTTGGCGATGACCAATATATGGGAATTCTCTGATCTAATCTGGCTAGCGATTGCGGTTGACGTTGAGCACGGCGTTACCACACGTGATCTGGTGCGGATGCCTGACCGAGCGCCTTCAGCTAGATGAGTCCACTAAAACATACAGTCAGCATCCAATGTCGAAAGCTTAGTGCTATTTATTTTGGGGATTTATTTACCGCTACACTGTAACGAAACAGATCAGTTTAGTAAGTACAGTTGCCTGTTTCTAATGTGTATACGGATTCAGATCAGTCTGATTAAAAACAGGAAAAAACGTGCCTTTGATGCTGTTGCTGTCATACATTATAAGATAGCGATAAGTATGTTTGGTGTTTATTTCTAAACTGTACATCTATCACTGACCATATTTCATGATCACTGTCATTAAACAATTTCCCCAGCAATAACATCGGTAGCAAGATAGCTAAGTGTCTGAGCTTTTAGTTGCCTGCAAAACAGCAGTATACAGTCTTAGAAGATGAGTGTTCTGTGTCTCAATTAAAGGCAGCTGGCTGTGGACAAATTTTAAGAATCTTTTTGACAACTGGGGCTTTTAGTTTATCAGACACTTACTCTGCTTGTATGTTTTCCTGTTAAACTAGACGCAGATGCGTGGGAATACTTAAATGGGAGCAAAATAATAACAGCATTGCAATACGGTACTAAGCCCATGTTATGCTTTGCGCAAGTAATAGTAGCTGACCTTATCTAATATTGATGAACTCAAGGTAAATCACAACTGCATAAATTCTTTGCTAGCAAACATGTGACTTGGTTATTTATATATTCCACATTTCCGACTAAATCCATCAATATTTCTTCATTTAGAATGCGACAGTAGCGAGCCTTCACATACATTAAAAACTGTTTCGCCCTTGGAACAATGGCCCTATGGAACTGTTTACGGGAGATCCAACGAACAGCAGATGATAAAAAGGATGCTGGACTTCCATTTTAGTCTCACAACCACTTCCAGTATTTTGTGACTTCTTTTACTCTTTCGTTTGGAAAAAAACAACAAAAGCTGCAGCTTAACATTACCAATACAACTTTTAAACGGGAACTTGGTTTAAACCTTTGTTTGATATTCGATTCTTAATGAAAGTTCTTGAGTAAATTTTTGAATCTAAAGCTACTTTCTTTTATCTACTTAATCGTTCCAAGAAACTTGTGATAAGCGAGCCTCTCAGCACCTAGTTCAAGTGTTCAAATGGTTGTGCACTGAATAGAAGAAGCTTTCGCTAACAGGCTTCCGTGTCTAGTAGCAGGGGATCACCAATACCTCAAGGCAGGAAACTAGGTATGTTAACAATAAAAGAGGAAAAAGAAATCGGTAAATCATAGTATGATACTATACTTAGTCCTTAAGAATAAATCCAGTTGCCTCTTAAAGGACTCCTGGGAAGTCGCTTGGACTAGCTCGGCCGGCAGAAAATTCCAGCATTTGACAACTCTTAAGGGGTAGAAGTTGTGCCTACAGTCCGTTCTGCTATGTTGTGTCTCTAGTTTCTGGGTGTTACCCCTTAGGTTAGTGTTGGAACTAAGCTTAATTAGGTGTTTTAGGGGATGTTCAGGAGTGGTAAGGTTATTGTAAGCCATTAGGTTACCTCTAAGACGTCTATACTCTAGTGAGTTGAGGTTAAGTGATTGCAGGCGCTCTTCATAAGGTGATTTGGTGGATATCTTTTCCATTTCCTTGGTAGACCAACAGACTCGGGTCCTCTCATAGCTTATTCTAACCACCATGGGTTGTCACGCCAGCTGATGGATGGCCACGCGTTACACATCCTAACTGTACCTGCTTCTTATCTTTTAGCTTCTAATTCAAATGCCATATGACAAGCAAGCAATGCCCCTACCCACACTAATGCAACACTTATAACTCAAATACACCCCGTATGGTACCTTACACTGGTTTACGCACTCGCTTAGCTCTTTAGTGAAAATCCCATGAACCCCCCTACCTCCATCAAAACAAATAAGTCTGTATTTGCAGCATATAGCAATTTTATTATTCAAAAGTAAGATATAACAGTTAGAATTGGAGTAAAATGGCAGTATACAGCAGATGCACGTGGTACATGTCTTCATCGATTAACTGAAATAGAGAATACGGATATTAGCTTAACAGGCTTATTTAGAAAGACTAGTGTCTAATTTGAACTTAAAAAACGCAGATTGTTTCCTTTCATTTTGCCGATAACATCATAAAAGACAGTTAGGAACGAACATGCGAACAGTTAGTCACAGGCGGCAGCAACAATTATTTTAGCTAAATAAAGACGAACGTCGGCTTTGGATATCTAGAAAACAAGGTAAAACATAACCGATTGTCGTTTAAAAACGTAAGGTCTTATGTTAGTGCCAGGCTGCTTAGCTGAATAAATACAGTGACTTCATTAGCAGCAGAAAACAAAGCAAAACCAGGAAAAAATTTGCTCCAACGTTCAGAGTATTACACTAACTTATGGATTTTAGCACACTGAAACATCAAATTCTGTAGCTACGCAAAAGAAATAGCGAAAAAAACACAGAACGATAAAAGCCGGCTGACATTTTGTAACACAAGACTAGCCAGATTGCCCGAAGAAATACATTGACTTGAGTAGAAGCAGCAAAAACCCAGAAAACATCGCTGATTCGAAATAAACTTCACACCAACATATAGAACATTACAATAACTGCGACATTTTAGCACACTGAGACATTAAATTACATGGCTACACAAAAGAATTAGCTGAAAGAAGCACAGAACGAAGAAAGCCGACCGCCATTGCTTACAAAGATGGCGGATGTAACAATTCCCGCGTCATTCTGATTGGTTGCTAAGCTGAAGGGCACGAAATTGAGTTGCGTTTAATTGCAGCCGATCTGAATTGACTTAAGGGAAAATTAACGAATTTCGAAACCTAGACTTCCACGAAAATTTAATAATAGTAGTCTTAACTGAAACTTTATTCTCGTTCGATCTCAAAATGTTAAGTGTTTACCACATAACGCTTTTAATGAAATCCGAAATTCAGTGAAAAATGCTGTATGGTGATATACGAATATCAAGAAAACGTATTCAGCAGCAGTTATTTGTCGTAATTATTCATGTAACTTCCAAGCATTTTGTGTGACATGATTTCGCATCAGTTTTGAGACTAAAGTGGGTATTTCAATTACGACTGGTGAATAGAATTTCTTTCGTGCTTGCACGTGACTGGTATTTGCAATTTATCTTTTACGTGTTTAATTATGCCATACCATACGTAGGAAGCTTGGTGGTAGATAGAAAAACATCTGCGAGGCTGAATGCACACCATACTTGTTCTTATGTTGGCAGTTTTAAGACTGTATCTTTTTGATAAATAAGATGTAGTATCAATGTATTACAAAATCCATAAGGTATGACTTTGCCTGGTCGATTTAATTCCTCGTTGTATTCAGTGAGCAGCAGCATATAGATATTGTTTCCACTTATCGAAGTTCATTCTCTTCTACTTATACAAAAGCGGTGCCAAATATTTAATTTTAAAGCCCTAAGGTAACCTAACTTGATGAGAACTTGGACCTGGTGATGCAATAATAATAATATATTTCTGCATGAGCAGGTACACGCCATTTTTACAAGCATGATCTATAAATCACAACGTTTGTTGGTGCACAGCATGCTTCCCAACTTACTAAGTTTATAGTTGTTATGAAGTAGACTCCTAGAGCGCTTGCTGTAAACCATGACCTTGAGGAGACGCGTACGTCAAGTTTGTTCCAGACGTCAGAAGTTTCTTAGCTGCGCCCTCAGAGCAAGATTCTGAAGAAAGAAAAAAGAGAAACAAAAGAGCAGGAAGGCACTTGGATATGAACGCTAAATGTTGCTTAACATTCTGTAGTAGAACAGACAGAGGTATAATACATTAGATTAAATTCATATTATCTCTTGTTAGAGTGAAATGAAGTCAGGGGCTCCATATAAGAGAATGTAGTAATAAAGAACAATGAGTTGTGATGTTTAACAAAATGGAGTACGCTTACATGAAGGAACTGAAGTCGAGGCTGGTACAAGGAAAGCGCTTTATTAGCAGGGAGTGTGCATACAGAAGGTGAGGTGTTAAAATTACTAACGGCTATGTCTTTTATTGTTTAATTTTTTCTTTCTTTTCCTTTTTTGTCCATCCGATGGAAGCCACACAATCGTAATGCAAATGTCCGAGTTAGCATGTTGTATGTTGTCTTAGTAGAATAGCTAATCCAGCATAAAATTGAAAACATGAATCTGAGTGATGAGCGTAGAAGGACAATCTATATCACAGATTGATTGACTTATTCTCAGTCATGAAGAGCCTGATACATACTGTTGGGGACGACATATCCCCAAAATTCATATTTTGTAATTTTGTCATATCGATTAAATGTTTAAATATTTGAATGGCAGTCAGTTGATGAACTTATCGATTGAATTTTTAAATAGCATACAATTGATGACTCATTAATTATTGTTTAAAAATTTCCTATGACAAAATCGATATATATTTGTATAAATACGCTTGACTTGTATGCTTGATCTGATCTGCCTGCCTGAGTTGGTATCTGCTGTTGCTTGTAGAATACACTTTCTACGCCTTACCAAGACTTCTTGATCGAGTTAGCTGAGTCGAAGACAACGGACCAGAATAGTCTATTGAGTCTCTGAATCCTGAGCCTTCGTTCCGTTCCGAATAAGTCGAATCAGTAGTATCCTCAAGGTTAACCAAACCTAACAATTTGGCGACGGTGGTTTTGGAAACATGGATCCTTCTAAACTTGAATTATTACTCGAGCAGCAGATGAAACTTATTCAAATGTTAGCAGATGCAAAGCTTACGTCTAATACTCAACCAAGTAGTTCTAATCCTACTACTACTGCACCATCAGTTGATGGTATCGCTAACAGTATCTCCGAGTTTCATTACGATCCAGAATCCAATGTCACGTTTGATATGTGGTTTCGACGTTACGAAGACTTATTCAAATTCGACTTTGCTAATCAGGATGATGCTTGGAAGGTCCGCTTGCTGCTTCGAAAGTTGGGTCCTAGTGAACTAGACAGGTATTGCAACCTAATTCTGCCTCTAAACCCACGCGATCGTTCATTCTCCGACACTATTCAGTCATTGAGCCAACAATTCGGAGACAACTCCTCACTATTCAATGCGCGTTATCGATGCTTGAAGCTCACTATGAACGAAGATGCTGATTTTCTCACACATGTGGGTATCGTTAACCGAGAATGTGAACGTTTCCGGTTGAAGTCGCTTACTGAAGACCAATTTAAAGCACTCATTCTCATCTGCAGCCTTCAATCACAGAAGTTCAATGACATTAGAACACGTTTGCTAAGTCGATTGGACCAAGACCCAAAACTAACTCTTAATGATATTGCAAACGAATATCAACGTCTAATCAATCTACAGCGTGACACTACAATGGTCCAGCGTGGTGGTTCAGATCGTGCTGAAGTTCATGTAGTCCAACAACCACGCAACTCGCATAAATCTGCCCCAGCAACATCTAGTTCAGGTCAAAAGACAAAAACAAATCCTCCTGCCCCATGCTGGCACTGCGGTGCATGGCATTTTGTTCGATACTGTCCATATAAGCAACATCGGTGCAGGAAATGTAATGCGGTGGGTCATAAAGATGGTTTTTGTCGAAAAAAGAAGCTAAGCAACTCCAAAGATACCAGAAAACCTACTCCTAGATCCAACACGAATTCGTTGAGTCTAATAGCAAGCTGTGAGAACTCAACCCCAGTTGAGAGAAAATTTATTACCCTTAATATTAATGGGCACCCGATTAGATTGCAAATAGACACTGCATCTGATGTAACAATTCTCTCACGAAAATATTGGATCAGAATGGGAAGACCACGCCTGGTGCCAACAACACAAAAACCGCGAACCGCATGTGGTAATTACCTACGTTTGTTGGGACAACTAGATTGTAAAGTGTCTTTTCACGATTCGACGTTTACCGGTGTATGTTACATCACACCAGCTGATCTTAATCTACTTGGGTTAGACTGGTTTGACCGGCTACATTTAGCTGACGTTCCTTTAAGCACCGTATGCCATCTGGTGAAACAACCTCATGAACCTGAAGCATATTCGAAAGAACTAATGACGGAGTTTTCAACCATTTTCCAACCTGTATTGGGTCAGTGCACTGCTATGAAAGCAACACTTCGGTTGAAACCTGGAGCTAAACCTGTCTTTCGTCCAAAGAGACCAGTGCCGTACGCAGCATTATCGAAAGTTGACGAAGAACTTAACCGCCTTCAACTACAGGGAGTTATTACACCTGTTTCTTATTCTGCCTGGGCAGCACCCATTGTGGTTATTAAGAAGGCTAATGGCACAATCCGAATATGCGCAGATTTTTCCACAGGTCTTAACGCAGCTCTCGAACAGCATCACTACCCACTGCCAGTCCCTGCAGATTTGTTCACGATGTTAAATGGTGGGAAGTTTTTTGCAAAGCTGGACCTCGCTGATGCCTATCTACAAGTGGAAGTGGCTGAAGATTCGAGAGAGTTACTTACCATAAATACTCATCGTGGCTTGTTTCAGTACAATCGCCTACCATTTGGTGTTAAAACAGCTCCATCTATTTTTCAGCAACTAATGGATACCATTCTATCGGGTATCCCGGGGGTCGCAACTTATCTCGATGATATCTTAATTGTTGCCACATCGTTAGAACAGCTTAGAGAACGAACGAAAGCTGTACTACAACGCATCAGCGATAACGGATTCCGATTACGCCCAGAAAAATGCCAGTTTTCTTGAAGTCAGTAAAATACTTGGGATTCATTTTGATGCTGCAGGTCGCAGACCAGATCCTGAAAACATCCGAGCTATAAAACAGATGCCGACTCCCACTAATATCTCTGAGCTACGATCATTCCTGGGACTAATTAGCTACTATTCAGCTTTTGTTCCGTCGATGCATGACATACGCGCCCCGCTAAACCATCTTCTGAATAAAAATACCAGCTGGAACTGGACAAAAGAATGTGAAGCTGCATTTTGCAAGCTGAAAACGATCATAAGCTCTGAACTATTACTGACGCACTACGATCCGTCAATGCCCATCATTGTCGCTGCAGACGCTTCAGCTTTTGGACTCGGTGCTGTCATTTCACACCAGTTCCCGGACGCAACAGAGAAAGCTATTATGCATGCATCTCGCACATTAACTTCAGCGGAAAGAAAGTACAGTCAAATAGAAAAAGAGGCTCTGGCCCTTGTGTTTGCAGTACGCCGTTTCCACAAATTCTTGTACGGTCGAAGATTCACTCTTCTCACTGATCACAAGCCTCTTCTCACAATTTTCGGTTCGAAATCTGGTGTTCCAGCCCATTCTGCAAACCGTCTCCAACGATGGGCTTTGATACTTCTGGGTTATGATTTTGACATTCAGTATCGGCGCACACAACAGTTTGGTCAGGCTGACGCCTTGTCACGGCTTATCAGCGAACACTCCACGGTCGACGAAGATGTAGTTATTGCCTCCCTAATGACAGAGGACTACGCGCAGTGTTACCTGACAACCGCTATTCGTGCTTTGCCAGTCTCAGCATCTGAAATACAATCTGCATCCAAGAATGACTCCATTATAAAGAGAGCGATGAAATACGTCACCAATGGCTGGCCGCCGACGGGACTCGATGGTGACTTGAAGCAGCTTTACCACCGTCGGGACTCATTATGTGTCGTAAACGAATGCTTGATGTTTGGAGATAGAGTAGTGGTGCCCGAATCCCTAAGATCAAAGGTGCTAAAGCAATTCCACACTGGTCATCCTGGTATAAAACGAATGAAATCCATCTCCAGAAGCTATGCTTATTGGCCCCTCATGGATCAACATATCGTGGATTTAGTAAGCAAGTGCACACAATGTCAGCAAGCAGCTAAGTGTAACGCGAAAATACTACCAGTCCCATGGCCCCAGCCTGAGTATCCCTGGTCCAGGATACATGTCGATTTCGCAGGCCCAATTAATGGAATCACCTATCTAGTCGTTGTTGACGCCTTTTCGAAATGGCCAGAAATTGTTCCCGTTATGCCACCAACGACAACCCAAACGATGCAACTTTTGACAGAGATGTTCTCTCGCAATGGGTTACCGGATATAATCGTTTCCGACAACGGTTCGCAATTCACCTCAAGTCAATTTCAAGAATTTTGCAAACGCCTATCTATCAAGCATTTCCGCTCTCCACCTTACCACCCACAGTCAAATGGTCAGGCAGAAAGATTTGTGGATACATTCAAGAGAGCTCTAATGAAGTCGAAAGGGGAGGGGACGACAGTAGAAACACTGCAGAATTTCTTGTTTGTTTACCGAACAACACCTAGTGATATGCTACCACAGCAGAAGTCCCCGGCAGAAATCCTGATGGGAAGGAAATTGAGGACGATCCATAGTCTGATGTGCCCAAGAACCACACCACCACCATCTCAGACCAAATCTCAGAAGCTTCCAGCGTACGAGGTCGGATGCCCGGTGTTTGCTCGAGACTACAGAGCAAATCATGGTCCTTGGATCGAAGCACGTGTGGTCGGAAGACTAGGCCATGTTATGTACGAGGTAAAGGTGGGAAGAGATACGTGGACTAGACACCGAAATCAACTACGGAAGCGGATAGCCTCGGACCGCCCATCAAAAGGAGAAAATCTTCCCCTTGACATCATGCTTGATACCTTCAACTTACCACCAGCCCCACCACGAGAAGAAGCTCAACAACAAGCTGAGCCCCGTCCCAGAAGGTGGCCTCTCCGTCAGCGGCGAACTACAGTCAAAATGCAAGTTGACCCCAGAAAAGTACGCTATTAAAAAGGGGAGGAGTGTTGGGGACGACATATCCCCAAAATTCATATTTTGTAATTTTGTCATATCGATTAAATGTTTAAATATTTGAATGGCAGTCAGTTGATGAACTTATCGATTGAATTTTTAAATAGCATACAATTGATGACTCATTAATTATTGTTTAAAAATTTCCTATGACAAAATCGATATATATTTGTATAAATACGCTTGACTTGTATGCTTGATCTGATCTGCCTGCCTGAGTTGGTATCTGCTGTTGCTTGTAGAATACACTTTCTACGCCTTACCAAGACTTCTTGATCGAGTTAGCTGAGTCGAAGACAACGGACCAGAATAGTCTATTGAGTCTCTGAATCCTGAGCCTTCGTTCCGTTCCGAATAAGTCGAATCAGTAGTATCCTCAAGGTTAACCAAACCTAACACATACAAAATGTCCTTCCCCACAAACACGGGTGGATTGAAGTCATCGCTCTCACAATCAATACTTGTTGGTCAATAACTCCACCCTCCCTCCTTTTGTGATGTTAGGATCATCTAGGCTTATTTTTGGATATATGTCATACCTCACACAATCCTCTGTGTTTCACAACGTGTTGGAAAATACTGTTTCTATAAGTACCATTTAACAAGCTTATCAGGCATTTACAAGTTATGGACTGTGAGTTGGGCATCGATGCAGTGCTTTAATTGACTAAAGTATAAATTGTAGTTCGCCAATTGGAGTATAAACATTTAAAAGGGTATAATATGGGATAGCTGTTTATTAAAGCAGGCTGAAAAGTATATAAGCAGATGAGTTGTAAATAAGGCAACGAGTGGAGAAATAATATTAATTGCTAGTCAACATAGTGTACAGGAGAGTAAAAAGCTGATAAAGCATAAACAAGAAGAAACTCATATTAACTTGATGTCGATGTTATTTTGTTCCATCCTAACCGGTTGATAGGTAACACGTTCCATAGGAACAAGACCACTAGTAGTAGACAGGCATTTGTGCGGTTTTTCGACTTTTTAGGATAGAAGTAAGCGTCTCTTAGCGACCGAAAGTCGATAGGTTCAGTGAGTTACCTGTCTACTTCAAGTAAAAAAGTTAGGAAGGAAAAAGTATCTAATACATCTACAAAGTAGGAAGTAAGGCAATTCGATCTATACATGTAGAGAGCCTATAATATCTGAGTGAGACGCAGATGTGTCCGTTTGTGCCGGATCTGTGCATGTGAGGGCTTGACCAATAAGTTTCCAAACGTATGTAATTCATCTGTCATGCGTATTTCAGAGGCAAGACTGTTCCACATTAATGCATACTTAGTGAGGAAGAAGTTTCCCCGAGTTTTTGATCTGTATTTCTCAACTTTGACGGCTGCTACTTTGTCTCGAAGGTCGTATTCATGAGTGTCATGGGCAAGAGCTATATTACATGTGGAATGAATAAGGTTTTTCAGGAGTTTGAAATAGAGGATCAAATTAGACCTTAGCCTTCTTTTCCAAGGGGTTACAGTCCTGATATATGGCATCGAGAGCTGTATTCAATGAGTGAAACGTTGTTAAGTATCTTGCGAGTGAAATCTCGTTGTATTCCTACCACTTTAAGTATGTTGGATAGGCGTAGTTTGGAAAACAAGAACGAACGGTATTCAACGATAGGTCTTATACAGAGTTTATAAATAATGATTCTAGATTCATTTTGAAGAGCCAGCCGCATTTCTCTGTGTTGAGCTCTAACCTCCAGCATTTACACCAGTTGTCTACCATGTTGATTTCATGTTAGATTGTTTGCATAGTATTACGTACATCGCGAATGTCAGTTTTATAGATGACTTTTAATTCATCGGCATAGAGGTAGGTCTGACCTGTACTAAAGCACTTGCACATATTGTTGATGTAGAATATAAAGAGCAATGAACCCAAGACACTACCCTGCACAACACCATTGGTTATTGGTCGAGGTGTAGATGTTGTAGAGTTAATCTTGATTATTTGGTATCTGTTCGTAAGAAATAACTTGATCCATTGTAAAAGGGGATTTATAATTGCAAGTGACTTAAGTCTGTTGATTAGAAGATTATGAGGTACTTTATCAAAAGCCTTCTTTATATCGAAATATAGTATAATAACTAGTTTCTTCTGGTCACGTATGCGTGTAACCTTGTTAAAGTAGTCTATCAGGCATGTACTGCACGACCTTGTTCTAATGAAGCTATGTTGTGACGGGTTTATAAAATCTTCCTTAAGTAGGTGATCAAATAGATGATTTTGTATCGCTTTTTCCATTGTGCGTGATATGACTGGAGTGATATTTATGAGTCTGTAGTTTTCGACCAGGTTTCTCGGTCCAGATATGTGTTTGGGAAGAACATACGTTACCTTCCAGGTTTCCGGATACGAACCTGTCTCTAAAGATAATGTGTATATTTTGAGTAGTAGCGTCTGTATGTCCGGTCCTGACATTTTATAAAGGATTGAAGGGATGTCATCGGCACCAGAACTCGCATTTGGCTTAAAAGTTTTAATGGCGGTATGTACACTCCTAATGTCGAGGTTTATAGTTCTGAGATAGTTTGTGCTGATGCACATTACATTGATATCTGGCGCATGAGATGTATTCCAAATGCGGGAGAACCACTCGCTTAACAGTTCGGTCATAATACGTCACTCCATCGTGCAGTAATGAGTGAATATTATTAAAAGACATAAATAATTTCGACACAGACGCACTGGGATGTAAAACAACAAAATCTATAGTTGAAGCACATAGTTTCATATTGTTATAGTAATACATCACACAAAGGTAGACGTTATAGATGTGTCACCTAAATAATGATATGATATTCATTACCTTAACCTTATGCAAAATGTTTAGCATCAATATTTACGTCGGTCGTGGCACGAATTTTCGGGAAGCTTGCTGCAGTTAGACGATTTGATTCAGATGGAAACAGAATATTGTGTAATTGGAGAAATAGAAACCATTTTATAAGAATCCACGTTACCGCAGGTAATGAGCAAACGGTTAGTTGTTCTAATACTCTAAAAATATCACATTGAAAATATGAAACTGGTGATTACAGTTTGATCAAAAACCGATGAAACCGTTGAATATACACACTGGAATATTGCAGGAATATTGCAGATCCCTCCTAAGGTCACATTAATGTGACTCGACATAGCGCCAGCCACAAGCTTAACTGTCTAGACTATTCTGTAAATAACAACATGCTTCACAGTCAGCCTGTACAATATTTTTTAGGATACAAACACTAATGGCACCTCTATCTCAGCATCTTTCCCAAGTCATTTCAAACCACAGGCAAAATATAAACTCACATCTCACGTGTGGCTTCAATCAGATATTATTCCTACGTCTCCCTTCTCGTTAAACTCTCCGAATTTCTTCAGTAGCTCATTCTATATATCCCTTATAGCTCATTTTATCAACAAGATGGGCTACGGAAGAACAAACGTCCAATCGATTTAAGACTATCGCTAGCGCTTCATATTAGCTTTAATAGCTTTTAGACTGACCTTTCTCACAAATTGCTATATATATCGATCACCGAGTTGATCGACCCTACCACATCTATTTCTGTGGATCTTAGGAATAAATCTTCCCTTCCCTTCCAGCGACCAACACATCTCTTAACCGAAGATCAATGACTAATTATAAGAATCATTCAGAAATCTCAACTGCATGAACATTGAACAGAATAACTTTCCCTCACTAGGATGGTTGACGATTAACTGATTTCATTATCCCTTAACAGCATTTCTTTGCCCTATTTAGTTATTCACAGATCTCTGGCTTACCTGATCAATCCATGCTGTATTCTAACTACTGAAACCTAGTGCACATCTGATAATTCTGATTTCACTATGTGTATAGATGGTTACAAAATGTTAAGATGTGAATTCAGGAAAAGGTAGAGGCTGTGTAATGTATGTGCGATCTGATATTCTGTCGACTGCAATCTTACCAAAGGGTTGTTAACCGTTAAATGATACTATATTCATCATTGCAGATAAGTGTACCCATCAGCACCTTATAATAGGTTGCATGTATAGACCGTCAAAAGCCGCTTGTGCAATGGATACACGTTTAGACCAAGTATTCTCATACTTATTGTCACTACCTGTAGCTGAATTAATAGGTGGCAAGTTCATCGTTTTCTCTTTTAATTGGAATACACTGGTTTTGGTTTTCCAGGCAGTGATCACAATGTTTTAGCCTGTCGACTCATTGCGTAAAAGCGCTCATGTGCTTCTTATGAGAAAAAATTCTCATAGATTCTATCAGAAGAATTTCAAACACCGACGTGTCCTACTCCGAAACCCGTCTACGTGGTCTTAGTTGGGATGAGTCATGTTCTTCTGAAGACTTTAATACTACAATGGATTATGTTTATTCTAATCTCAAGTGTTATGACCTTGATGTCTGGCTTTCTATCACGCGACTTATCGACCAGTCAGAATACGACTTATACAATTTCGCACTATGACAAACCAATGACGTTCAACCGGTATGAGCAGTTTAGCGTTCTGATCGGTCCTATGTCCTCCTAACCCTTCCACTTGAGTCCAGAACACAATACCAGCTACTGTAATATGAATCGAATCGAATCAGATCAGATCGTTTATTTCAGACACTCGGTTTACACATCAATCAGACAGACCACAGCGTACCAGAAATAGAAAATAACATGTGCACACAAATAAGCCAAAAAGTAGCTGTGAACGAGGGGGACAGTAATTAATAGACTGAGCATAGCTTAAGAACCGTAAATCGTACAATAATAAATTGTAGGTCAAAATAAAGCTTGTAATAAGAGGAATATAAATATACATAAACTAATTATTCAATAGTTTTACAATAAGAATATTTATAGAATATTAGTCCATTAATAGGCCTCGGAAGTTACCTGTAATTTAATCTTCACTGGGTTATAACATAAGACCTATCTGAACTTAATCGGTCTAATTATAACAAAAATACCATACGTCCCTCATTGTGATTATATTTCTTCAAATTCAGATTTCAACATACGAAGGTGCGAAAAAAGGTTTTCCGCTCAACATGAATTTTCAATATTCATTCAGTATCTAGGAATGTCAAAAGCTTTCGACACACAGAGGAATTAGAATCTGGATGATGGTATTCCGATTTTCAAAACAAAAATAGATTTTAAACAGCTGCTCCAAGGAGTAAGCATTGAGTGCATTCTAATATTCTTACTCTCCTGAAATCCAATGGTCTACTTATAAAAGACTCAGAAGAACTACGTGAGCTGCTT